TCATAGAACTGACCCTCATCCTTCTGACGCTGCCTACGAGCCGCCTCCCTTCGTTGCCTGTTTCTCTGATTGTCCCGTCTTCTTCTAGCGTTAACCATTCTGTTAACATAGAAAGACAGATATTAGTACGATTTAACCGAACCGCAAAGAATACAATAAATCCTAATCTTAGGCTCTGACTAAAAGAATACGCTACGCGGAAGTCTTAAAACGATAGATCCCTAGAGACACTTGAACCTGGCTCTGATACCAACTGTGATACCCCTCAATTCTAGAGCCACGGGTGATCAAGTTCAAGCACAGAATACAAGGGATATCAAACAATTAATATTTAAACAAGTATTTGAATACGAAAAGAATAATAAAGAATAAATAAATAATAAGCTGAAGGAAACTAAATAATAAATCCCTATTTTAAAATCCTCAAATAAATAATAATTAAAAATTCAATAATAAAATCCTCCAATCTTCGGATACTAGTAATTAATTAAACTACAACTCGGGAATCCATCCTGTGGACCCCTAATAATATCCTAACTGAAATAACTGAACCGAAATAAAAATAATAAGTAACTAATGAAGACGAGTCCTACGTAGAGTCGGAAGAGTGAATGACTGTCTCTGCTCGGCACAAACAATCTCTAAGACTGGAACTGACGAACACCTGAAAAATAATGGTGGGTCAGACCCACAAACAAGTTCTAATCTACTACATCCCAAACAGAGACCCAATACACGTACACATCCTAATTAATTCAACAATAACTAAATAGTCCATATGTAGATATATACACACTAAAGGAACCTCACTAGATTATAGAGTTATCTCAACCTGAATAGTAGGCAATATGCAAAACGCACATATAGTGGGCATGAGTACCTAGACCTACTAGGGTACACAACTACGCTATATCTAGCTACACATCCCTGGCAATATACGCACCCTAACCACTAATCCTGAGACTCAAGCTCATATCATGGTGTATAATTATATATGTAAAAATCCGTCCTAATCCAACCATCAAAAATAAACTATCCAATTATTATTTTAATAAAATGTCATTCAACTATTCCGTTGACCTGACACGAATAAGTAGGACTTAACACTGTGGTTAATCCGTTCCCTTATTAAAAATAGGTAGGACTTAACTCGTAAGTTAATCCGTCCCTAATATGCCCCCCATCCCATAATGGTGCATTAATCTATACCATAATCAAATAAAAGTTTCCAATCCAGGGACAATATAAATATTATTTACATCTAACAATCCAAATAAATATGATATAAATCATATACACATCCTTTGCATTTACTTGAGCAAAAATATCAATTCTAAGTAGTACGCATTTAATTTACATCGCAAGAAATTAACGTACATCTCAATTAAATTGTACATCCCCATGTTCTGATTAAATTAATTTAAATCTAAACAATTGATTAAAATAATGTAATCCAACAATATTTAATTAATTATTATTTTTTTAAAAAAAATTAATTAAATTCCATACTTAGCATGTAAACTTAAATCATGCATTCCAACTCTTAATGAATCTATTTAAATTAAATAAATATTTAAATTTAGATTCATCAATCAAAAATAACAATTATCAATTTAACATCCTAGCATTAATCAAAATAATATTTAAAAAATATTTAATGCATAACTAATTATTATTACTATTGTTTTTTTTTTTATTTTTTATTTTTTATTTTTTTTTTTATGTACACAAGATTATTTCTACCAACTGTGTATGCCTTAGGAAGAAACTAAATTTAAATTACAAATTTAACTATATAATGCATTCTTAAAGCCTCGTTCGGCATGCACCTTTTACACTGAAAAGTTAGTTTTGAATTCATCACACACCTTATTCCTAAAATTGATTCGTGGAAACAAAATTGTCTCGTTCGGCGTGCCTATACATATACATACAATCTTCTGATTTCCCTCACAATAATGGATTCATGTTTAAATCCAAGCATTGAATAAAACACTCCCAGATTTCGTACATGGACATAAATGGGTTCATGCTAATTTGGTTCATGTTAATCCTACAAGTCATTCCTCGTTCCACGCACATGAAGAAAAATACAATTATGATTTCACAAAAATATAAAACTGTTTCAGGCTAACAACCCATAAGATATTACAACTCATGATTAGAACACATAATATAATACAACTCATGCAAATCTAATTTATTAAAATATGAAATTTAATACAAACCCATTATTAAAACAGATGAACTGAAATTTCCACATAAATTCATATAATTAGATTCAATTAATTTATTTAAATAACCTAGAATTAATCTAGCATGCATAAGGTATGAATCAAAGGAGAAGAGAAGAATTAAAACTTGCCTTTAGGGATTTGATAAAAACCCCTAGCCTCCTTATTCCTTTTCTTTATTTCTCTCTCTAAAATATAGTACGTGATATATTTTCTAACCTATTTCACAACTCTATAGTTATATATTTATAGGTAACTAAAATAACCCTAATCCTTTTTCCATTTCAAGACAAACTAAAATAAAATAAAATAAAATTTAAATACTAAAAAGGTAACCTAAATATATGTTACGTATAATCTATGTGTAACCCTTTTTATATATAATATATAAATATATATCAGATTATTAATAAAGGGACTTTCCTTACATATATATATATATATATATATATATATATATTTATTTATTTATTAAATATACATATACATGGATAATCATCCGTACCCACTAAACCCCTTATCCAAGTAGTCCATGGAGCCCAATTGATTGGTCAATTACTACTATCCATATCCAATAAAAATAAAAATAAAACAATTAAATTCCTAAATAAATACACATCATCACATACAATTCAATTTAAACAAATAATTAAATCAATTAAACAAGTAAACAATTAGCCAAAAAAACAACTAAAAAATTAAATGCAATTAAAACTATTAAAATAATACCGAGATTATCCTTTTTAAATTAGGGGTATTATAATTACTATAAAGTTTTATTTTAAATAGACATATAGTTTTTTAGTGCAATGTGATTGCGAAATTGATAGTATAAATGCAGACGTAATTCCATACCATCATGGCCTACAATATTCCAAAACAGATGCTGAAAATGATGGAAAACAAAAATCTTTTGGAATAGTCACATCTTTTTCCCCAAGGAAAGGAATAGGAGAGAAAAGACAATTAATCGTGTTCACAAAATTGAAAATATTATGATCGATCAGTTAAACAAAAGAGGGAAGCAGAAGCTCCAAATGGTTAATACTAAGCCACAAATCAAATAGATTTATTAAAAAGGTTATCTAGATTGATCTAACTCTGACCATTCAGTTATTGTAGTAGTGGGTGTCAACACACATTATGCTAGGTCAGTCACCTTTGTTAGCATCACTAAATAAAACATATCGATTTTTTTTTATATGAGTAAAGAATAATGTCAACTATTGTCACAATGTCATTTCAACTTGTATAAATATATTTAAAGTCAAATACATCCGATTCTCGAACTGTATCACAACTTTATTGAATAACTAACAGGTGGTTCATGATTGAACTGAATTCAACTCTGGAAATTGAAAGAAAATTATTTTAAAATTTATACTGCTAGCAAACATTGCGAAAATGTACTTCCAAGATAAGGCATTTTTTTTTTTTTTTTTTTAACGTACTGAAGAAGATTAAGCATAGCTGTCGAGACAAATACACTATATAACATTTTAAACTCGCGTCCTTCATATTAGGGCACCCTTAAAACAAAAAGTAGATTGTGCAGTGCATTTAAGTTTTAATATTTATTAATGTACCACATCTATATTATCTTTCATTAGAGGACACCCTCAATGTCCCAAACCTACTGCACCGAATTAAACAAGGTATGCTAAAATTAGGACCCACCCACATGCCTAAATGCTAGGGATGTATCAGACTATAATTTAATACACATGTCCTATAAAGAGGGACAATAAAGGTGGAGTGATTTGAGATCATATATTCCGAAAATACACACACACACACACGGATGATAGATGCATACAAAATACAAACTAAGCATAGAAACAGACACAGGAATGGTGCAATTTATTACACTGCAACCAATCAACCATCAATCTAAATGCAAAACATTCAAATTGATTCTGATCCTACACGACAAAATTTTGGGGGACCATATATTCGAGTTTGCATACTTGTAATATACTCCGTATTAAATATGATATGAGATTGAGAGAGAACAGTTCCAAAAGCTTCTATGAAGTCTGTCTTTTTTTGAATTCTGGTTTAATCCACAATCAATTACAACATTGGCTGGATGCAAGTGTGCCAATTTTAAAATTTCTACCCACCAAACAATCTTTGGATTCTGTCCCCAATCAATTATGGGATTGCCTGAAGAGTGATATCTAATCCCCCCTTCGCACATTGTCTGAGAGAAGTTGTTGGCACTTATAAAAAATGTATTCTATCGGTATAAAAGCGATTTAAAAACTGTGAATATTTATGTATTGTGGAATGGACAAATTTTAATCCTCGTACAGTACAGCATGAGTTGACCCATCACACAAATGTGATAAATGTGATTGGTCACATTTGTATGTGGTGAGCCGTCTGATGCAGTATCATAAAAGTTCCCAACTTGAAGCAGAAGGGGATGAGTATAACAGCTCAGCAATGCAGTACAACATCGGATGACCCACCGCACATGCATTTGAGCTTGTGTGAGGTGGGTCGTTCAAAGCGCTACCATAAAAAATCATTACTCAATGAAAACATTACCTCCATAGTGTGAAGTTTGAAAAAATTTAGATTAGCCGTGGTACCATACCCTCGGTCTCCCAGCCGTTAGATGTGGTGATGAGACCCACCTAATAGATCATCCAACGATTAAGAGACCCCGAATATTGTAGAACTTTTATTATAGTTTTGTATGGCACTAAGCGAACAATATTTGCACAGTGTCTTTAACCCAAAAATATATATATATTTGCACAGTGTGAGTGTAGCCCGGATGCTATCCCCCCTACTCCTCTCTCCCTTATAAATTGAAGAATCTATCGGCCTTTTCTTCCATCTCAATCTGACAGACTTGCTGTTTCTATTCCATTTACTGCTGTATACATCGTCACCTTATCTTATTATATACTCTATACATCAACTTATCAATCTTCTCCTCTCCTAACTGGTTAATCTAGCACCATACCTTATCCTCCAAAACACTTCAATTTTGCAGACTTCGATGGCTGCTACTTCTAAACCAGTGTCCATAAAACGGCTTGCTGAACATCTCGAAGATCAACAAGAGCCTTTTAAGCTAGATGTTTACCTCTCACAAAGAAGGTACACGAAGAAGAGCTCGAAATTAGAAACCAGAAATGGTTCCAACCTCTACAATTCAGTTAAGAACTTGACTGAATCTTCCAGTACTTATACCATGATCAGAAAAGGACTTCCATACGGTTCAAAAACTCTAGAATTGGTGCTCGACGCACTCGCTTCCTACAAGAGTTGCGGGAAACTCTTGAGATTAAAACATAAAGCTCGGAAAAATGGAGAAGAAAAAGATTCCAAGACTCCTAGAAAGCAAGAGGAAATTGCAAAGAATCGCCTGTCCTCATCCGGTAGCCGAACTCCGTCTAGTTCCTGTTCAAAGGGAAACATCAAAGCGCGTTGTACTCCTGAACAAAATCATAGCTCGTCTTATCAAAGAACCTTTCAAGCCTTGAAGCTCCACAACCTGCTAAAATTAGAGGTAGAAAGACTTTCCTTTGTTTAGTTCAGTTTTCATAAAACAGTTCAAATTTTCATTTGTTTGACAATTACCTAAAAAGCGTTTTTTTGAAAATCGAGTCAAAGGAAAAGCCTAATTTTAGCATTCAGTTTTAAAATTGTTTTCTATTTTCAGAGTTTTTGAAAACTGTTTTCATAACGACTTTGTATTGTTTGAGCTTTGTCTTCTCTGGCAGTGCCTAAAACGAAATATTAGTTTTATATTACAGCATTTTTGTAGAAGATTCAATTATGACCATGTTTAACAGGCTGCTTCAAATTCAAAACAACAATGGGGATGCATAGAAGAAAACAATCAGCTCAGCCCGGCATCAGTACTAGAAGAACTACAATCAGAAGAAGGTTCTCCAGTTGGTAAGAAGATTCAGTTTCTTTATCTTATGAATCAAATAAAACCATTATTAATATTCTGATCTTTCATAATATAATTTATTATGTAACAATCATTATTTGTCAATGAATCAGTGCAACACTTCCTTGTACCAAGAAAAGAAGAAACAACATTGACTTGCAGTTTCAATTTGCCTAGAGTCAAGGAAGACACCATTTTCTCAGCAACTATGTGCCAATTACTTGCACAATCTCTGACTGAGAAGCACAATTGCGTCGGCGCAGCAGAATTGCATGGCATTGAGTCCAGTTCTTCACAATTCTTGAACGCCAAAAGGGTGTTGATGCAAACTAAAAGGCTCGTGTTCGACTGCGTGAAGGAAGCCATAGACACCCATGGAAGGAGAGCAAGGAGGCAGAAGAGGCTCAAAGGTGTGTTGGGGCCTGAGGAACTTGGAAAAATAGTGTGTGACCAAATCTATGAATGGGGAAATCAATCTGGTGATGAAACAAATGTAAACCAATTGATAAGTTGGGATTACTCCAACACAGAAGAGGAATGGAGTGATTTTCATATGCTAACAAGGCATATTGGGATAGAGATTGGAGACGCTATCTTAGATAATATTGTAGTAGAAACAATCAAGTCACTTTGAGGTATATAGATATATTTGAAGAAATAATTAATTCATCCAATGACTTTATTTCTACTGTTTTCTTCTCCAAATTGTTATGAATTTAGAAAATGGAGATCTGTTTAGGTCCCTCATTGATATTTAGGAAAAAATGTTGCATGGTTACGTACGTAATTATTGGTCTCGGACAATTATTAACTAACACGTAAATAAACGTATTGTCAACTTTATTTAATTTTTTTTATTTATGTGTCAATTAGTGATTAATTAATCAATACCAATACTCCCAGGACCATACAACATTTTCCTGATATTTAGGATCCATTAATAGAACAGTATGTTAGCAATTCTCTCTCTTCATAATTTCTCTACAATATTAATTTATCAGCTTCATGTCACTTTTACTGAAAAATACCAAGTACGGTACTGTATAGAAATCATTAATTTCATCAACTAAAGACAAAACGCTAACGTGTTGACAACAATTTTGGTTTTACGATTGTGGTTGGATCAGATTTTGCCACGTGGAACCATCAGGGTATGCAATGTGTCACCAGCCACAGCAATGGATAAGATGAATTGTCTCCGTGAGCAGTGGGCTACAAGTACGTTGGGTGGATCAGATTTTGCCACGTGGAACCATCAGGGTATGCAATGTGTCACCAGCCACAGCAATGTATAAGATGAATTGTCTCCGTGAGCAGTGGGCTAGTCATTTGATATTAACGTTACTAACCTATATGAGCGGCCAAAGTGAAGGTGCAATGGGCCACATCATGTGGGCCCGAACCAGATTGGTAACCCTCCAATTAGAAACACCATGTTTTCTGGGCTGGTCATCGTCACCCTAGCTGCCCAAGGGACCCACTAGTCCTATAACCCATGAGCCACGACATCACAGAGAAATTGTTATATAGTTTGAGACTATGTATTTCATCCAATTATATATTAATATGCTAATTAAAGTGTTAATTTTTATTTTTTTATTTACATGTCAATCTAAAATGGGTCAGAATCACAAGATCCCGAATCATGTAATAATGGACAAGGTTCTTATTCAGTTCACGCGGCACTACTGTAAGAAAGAGCTTAAGAGCCCTTGAAGCTTACGAGATTGATTAGATAGAGTGGCATTTGCAAAATTATTAAATGGTCTGAGATGATGTAATTTCGGTCAATTACAAGTTGCCATGCAATAACAAAAAAATGAACAAAACTAACACATTTAGTTGCGTGACAGTCGGAACCACATAGCTTACATTTAAGTGTATATGCAGAGATAAAAAAAAATCAATCATTGGGCCAATGACTCATGTTGAGCCTCATAACAAAAACAATCTTTATTTTTTCCAAAAACAAACAACTTCTTAATAGTTATGCAGCCCAAATTGAGCCACAAACTTCGATTTTGTTAAATATTTAATAGGCCAGAGGTTTAAAAATGCAAGTCCTCAAAAGAAAAAAATCACAAATTTTAGATTTAGGTTACTCGAATGTGCCTAAAAGTAATTTATGAAGTTTTCTTAACTGAATGGATTTTAAGTTCTTCAAATAAAATTTGGTTAAAAGTCAAAAAATATACTTTAAAAATGCACCAACCCTAAAATTCACAAAAGTTTAGGTCCAACTCTCTTAAGAAAAAATATTTAAAGATGTTTTAAAATTTACAAACTTAGATCACATAAAATTGTCAAAAATCACAAAATTATGTTTAAATGAAATAAACCCTAGAATTCCTAAATTTTAGGTCTAGACCAAAGTAGTTAACCAAAATAGATAAAGATTTTAAAATCGGAAGGTGTACACTGATGTATTTTTCTTGAAAATCATGTTGTTCACCACTGGTAGGTAGGAGTTTTTTTTTTTTTTTTTTTTTTTTTTGGGGGGGGGGGGGGGGGAAATTAAAGTATTTGTATATATGATTGTTGAATTTACAGATGGGCCGAAGCCCCAAAAAAGCCCAAGGTCAACCCATGAGCTCCAATCCAGCCCATACCCAAAGGCAGAGCTTCCAACCTCAAACATGCCCTAATCGTACTTAATTAAAAATTGCACTGTTGAGCAGCTGTCATCCTCAAACATGTCCTAATCGCAGGGATCATTACACAGTTGAGCAGCCACAACCAGAATCCGGTGAGAGAAGATGGGACTATGTACCCATCGTGGGTTCAATCTGGTGGCTCCGGTGGCGGACGAATGAACGCCGAAGGAAGATCCCAGTCGATTTGCACTCTTCTGGCTTGATCGGTAGGAGGCTTTCAGCTCAACAATTCCATAAACAGGTTTCAAATTTGATGAAGGAACTTTCTTTTTGTTTTGGAATGGTTTGGTGATGCAAAATGTATTTTAATTTTTAATTCTTTTTTTCATGGGACTCGATTGTCTTTAAAAGGTAGGTGGTGGTAATTTTCGCTGGTCTCTTTCCATGGTTGGGCAAATAAAAAACACGGTTCCAACCTTTATTGACTTTTCTTTACGCGTTTCTACATCATTTGTGAACCCTTTCCTTCGTCTGAGTTGAGAATAATAATCTTTTTTCAATGGAAGATGTGCCAGAGCCTCCCATCAATCCTAATTTTGACGATTTTGATGATTATGAATTAGATCAAACATCCGATCTTCATGATGATGGTGATGATGAAGATCAAACATCCGATCTTCATGCTGATGATGAACGCAAGATCAAGAATTTCATGAAAGATTTGCCGAGTAGAGTGTCTTTCCGGCGCCCGAAGTCGAAATACCATCTGTGGTCATTTTGGAGTGAGCCGACTCTGTCTCTTCGCAGTAAGCTGCTTTTCTCTGTGTTTTTGTCACCCTTAATTTCTCACCTTTTTCTATTATTAACAGGAAATTCAATCTTTATCTTAGTGGAGAACCACCATGTGTATATTATATATATTAATAATATTAATAATAAATAATGTTAATGTTGCTGGATTGAACGTGTAGGTGGTAGTAGTATTACCGATTCGGCAACTCACACCCCCACCACAAATCAACCCATCATTACAGACATCATCAAATCTGCCCTTCTACACTTCAATGACAGTTTTCTTATGGTTGAAGTACTTCTAATACAGTTTTGGGCACCCATGACAACAGAAACAGGGTGTGTCCAGCTTGTTACTTCAGACCAACCTTTTGCTCTTTCTTATCATCTTGATGAAGGACTTCTTGAGTATAGGAAGCAGTGTTTGCAATACAAATTTAATGTGGATGGGGATGGGGAAGGAGTAGAAGGCCTTGGAATCGCTGGCCGTGTGTTCCGCCAAAAATGGCCCGAGTTGATACAAGATGTGGGACATTACTCTACCAAAGAGTACCCACAGCGTGATTTCGCTCTAGCTTGCCATATTTTGAGTTGTTGTTCTTTTCCGGTGTTTCAAACCTCTTTCCAGGAATGCGTTGGAGTACTTGAGTTTGCTACAACTACCGATTCCTTTTTACACACGGCGAGTTATTTGTTTATGAAACATGCGCTCAAGGTTTGTTGAACCCCTAATTTGTACTTACATTCTTCTAATTAATTTAATGAGGACTGAGGTGATCGGATACGATTGGAGATGATAAATATGATTTTACCTTTTCATTAATTTAAACCTTACCAAAATTAATCACCTTCTCCTCTTGCAGTCTGCCGGTCTGAAAACTTCTTGGTGTGATGCATTGATTTGTAAGGTAAGTTAGAGCTGTAATATCCAAATGTGAGATTTGGTACTTTTATATGTTTTCACTACTCTCTTCTCTCATCCACAAATGTCTATACCAGATTTTATATAAAGATGATCATCCAAATATATGGGCTGAAATCGAAGAAGGGTTGGAAGTGGTGTGCAAAACTCACGACTTACCTTTGGCTAAGACATGGATTCGGTGCAGGCATTTCAATGGCTTGGCCTTTGATGGCAATTTGGATAATAGCTGTGATACGTTTGATGTAAGCTGTATGGGGCCAGCCTTTCACTGTGATTTCCTAACATTTAATCTTCTAGATCATAATATGAAGGTATTCTTCTATCACTGGAGTGATTTTCAAAACAGGCAGGAAGTTGTTCGGAGTGCATATCAGTCGCATAAACTATGTTTATGTAGAGATCTAACTCAATTCAGCATAACTGAATACCCCTCCTTGCCCCTTGCACGCGCTTTTGGCTTAAGAGGTTGTTTCGCGATTTACTTGCAAAATACTCGTGCCAAAAATTTTCATTACGTACTAGAGTTTTTTTCTGAATCCTAAAAACATATATGGTGAAGACCCAAGTACCTTCTTGTGGCCAATATTAGGAACAATGAAGCAACAGTTCCCAAGCTTTAAGCTTGCTTCTGGAGAAGAACTCGGGAAGGAATTACTGATTGAAGTTATTAAACCTCGCATGAATAAGGAGCCTGCTTCTTTTCAATGCCAAAGTACTTTATCTCCATCTAGGCCTGGGGTCTTACATAATGCACAAGAGATGATGCAGCCACATTCATCAAATCAACAGATGCTAGTTGAAGTTGAAGATATCAACAATGAATGGAATCTTGTTAATGATGAGCAAAATTACATTCCTGTTTCTTGTTCAAATGAGGGTCGCATGAATCAGGAACTTGCTACTTTTCAATGCCAAAGTACTATATCTCCACCCGAGCTTGAAGTCTTGCATAATGGGCAAGAGACAACGCAGCCACATCCACCAAATCAGCAACTAATAATCGAACTTCGTGATACAAACAATGGAATGAATGTTAATGCAGAGCCAAATGGCATTCCTGTTTCTTGTTCGGACGAGGCACTTAATTCAATTACTTATGAGGAACTCAAAAAGCATTTTGGAAAGAAACTTGAAGATGTTGCACAGATTTTTGATGGTAAGCTTACACAGTAACTGAAATTGTCGCTTCTAATCTTTCTTTTACTATTTTCAATTTTTGAGTTTCTTCTTTTAGAATTAATAGATTATTCTTTTGCACTTACAAACTATATGAGTTTTTTTTTATTATTGAGTTCTTATTTTTGCAGTGAGCAGATCTACGTTCAAGCGTATATGCCGAAAGAATGGAATCCACAGCTGGAAACGAGGCAAGAGAAATAAGGTTAAAGGTTCTCCCTCTAGACGAGACCCTCCATGTTCTCAGTTGCCTGCTGAGAAACTCGTCGCTACTGTTGCTCACATGACTCCACTCGTAATAACACAAGAAGTAAGGGCAATAACTATAAAGGCAACATTTGGAGCTGATATGATAAAATTTAAACTACCTTTTTCATCAAAAATGGAGGAGTTGAAAGTGGAAGTGTCCAAGAGGTTGAAGTTAAATGCTAGAAGTTACAAGATCAAATATAATGATGGCGAGGATCAGATCTTGATAGCCTGCGACGAGGACTGGCGGGAATGTATGAGTGCTTCCGATTCAATGGGCACAATCAGATTGGTCATTGAGCCAATTACGCAAATACCACCTTCAACCTGACTACAGGCAAGTTTCTAACTATGTGTTGGTATCAATTTATTATCCATCCATGGTCCTAGTTTCTAAAGACAATATATGTATTTATGTAATTTTTATCTTTTCTGCAGGAAATATCAGCAGTTTCTATTTCGTAGCTCCCACTCTGTTCTCTAGGATTGCCGAGTCTTCTACTTGTCCAATCTAAAAAAAATACATTTGTATTTCAAAGAGAATACCTTGCTGAAATGTAATATGTTCAAAGTGAAAGAAGCAACTTTGAGTTTTGCAGGAAACAATATGTTTTATGTAAGTAAACACTTAGCAAATATTTGTAAAGTTCGCAGATGAGCTAATTAGTTGCTACCATTAATCTTGATAGACTTCTTAAGTATATGCCAATGTGTTCGATTCTAGGGAAAACCCTTCATGTCTGCTAGCTGAGAAACCTGTGGCCTGTGTTACTCACACAACTTAAGCAGAAGACATTATAAAATTTCAGTTCCCTTTTTTATCGAAAAAAGGTGAATTTGGAGAGGTAGTGTTCAAAAAGTTATAGATCAAATTTGTGGACGACCGAAAATAAAATAGAGAGAGTGACGACTGAAATAGAGGAGATGAAGTTGGTATGGATCCCTGGAATGAGGGGAACATAAAATTTGGAAAAGAAAAGAAGAAAAATTGACAGAAAAAAAAATTAAAAATATAAAAAATAAAAAATAAAAAAGGGTTAGGAACCCTCAATGCTAGACATAAAATAATTTTGGTGGGACAAGTTCACAATTATAAAATAACACACAGAAAAATAAGGTTGGTGGTAGGCATAAGCTGCACTCGGAGGCATTAAAGAAGGAACGAACATACACAAAATTCTACTGTAATCTACACCAGCAAGGTGAAAAACCTAGAATTCAATCCATACCCACAAACCCGAAGTACAGGTCTATATTCCAAGGCCGTTACCAAGTTCTAGACAGAGAGAAGGAGATGGCATTACTGAGGAGAAGATTCTGCAGGAAGAAACTTGAGTGAAAAACTATTAACACAATGACATTCATCCATTGGAGTAGGGAACCCTTCACCTTTAATACATGACCTAGATGTCCACCACAAGCCGCACATGTAATTGCAATCCTCATTCCATCTGGGTCTGCCTGAGAGCAAAAGAGGATGTAATTAACTATAAAAGCAAAACTAAGATGAGATTAAAATGCTGAACAAAGTAAAGAGAACAAGCATGCTCACATCCTGCACAATTGTAGACTCCCTCACCAAAGAACTTGTCATACTCTTCCATCTTTAGTCGTTTGGTGTCACGATTCTTCCCTATTACATTAGATATCATGCCGGACATTATGTGCTTTCAGTCATGCAACAAATGAAGAAACCAATAAAGATAACAAATTTTACTAAAAAATAAAAAATAAAGATAAACAAATTTCTTAATACAGACTGAACATCAACCAATATCTAGCATATCAGTGGAACTCAATTTCTTAATAAATTGTTTCAGCAACTTATCATGTCATTCTAGAAATACTTGTTCCTATTAATTGTGGTAGACTTAGAGAGCAGGAATGTATTGGGTTGGTTAATAAAATCACAGCCATAATTCAATCTCGGAATAACAAAAACAGAGTCCATTGGTATGATTTTTTTTTTATTTCATCATAATGTCCCCAAGCATTCCTTCTTCCTTTCGTTAGATATTCAAGACAAATAACTTGCCCAACAGAGAATGACAAAGGTCAGAGTTGTTCTTTGTAGGGAAAGGGTAGAAGATAGAAACCATCTCTTCTTTGAATGCTTACAGTAAAATGTGCATACTTGCAGTTTCATTTCTGCCAAAATGGCCTCAATTCCAAGTTCATAGCTCTGCTGCAATTGATTCTACTCTAGTTAATACATTTGCAATTCTAAACTAATCAAGCATAAAGTAGGCAATGGAAAGAATACTCACTTTTGGTATGACAATTGGAGCCAACTGGTCCTCTGCGTCACAGGTATAGCTCTGCCGTAATCGATTCATCTCTAGTTGATAGATTTGCAAAGGTTGAACAATTCATGACTGGTACATCTTGGTCTTCCCACCATCTATCCTAAATCTTATCCCATCATTACCAACCAATCCACTCCCTGATTCCACCATTGATGACTCCATTATTTGGATCCCATCACCAACAGGAACTTACTCGCTCAACACACACAATTCCATATTTTCTAGCCATCGCCCCTTCCGTCAATTGGAACCACCTTGGTTGGAGCTCACCAACTATTGCTGTTCACACCAGACTCCCCACCCTTGATAAATAAATAAATAAAAAATCCAAGGGATTTCTCAGATAAAGCAACATTTGACCCCTCTGTGAACCCCTCCCTGAAAACCACAACCGCCTATTATTTGCTTGTGAATTCTCTCAGCTCATTTGGTCATTTTTACAAACACGTTGTGGATCTTACTGCTCCACAATGAATTGGAACTCACTTGTCAATTAACCCTCCCTTTTCACTGGAAATCGAAGGCAACACACTTCATATCCAAGCTTGCATTCAGAGCCTCTGTCTATCATATCTCGCTCTTCTAAGAGAAATCATCCACACAATCAAAGGTCTTCATCAAATTCGAAGCGTTGTTAGAGAGAATCTTCTATCAATGCAATTGAGAGACACTGCAATCAACACAAGGTTAGTTCAGGACTGGGAGCTTCAAGTTTCTCGCCTCCGACCACCACCATGGTCTACGGCCACCGGACTGGTATAACTGTTACCAGAAAACAGTTAGTAGCCACTATAATGGGCCATTTAATATGGGTCATATTTTGGACCAATTTATATTGTTTTTGTCATTTTTTTTTTTTTTTTTCAAACCCAGAACTCCCTTGGGCAGAGCCTTTGACCCACCCCAAGGTAACAAATTGGAGATATTGTGGCCGGCCCCACAACTACAGTACCAAGTTAGTCAGGGGCTGTAACGGAGCATTGGAAAATCGAACCCTGAACATGTGAGAACCAAAGCCCTCTCCGACCAAACCCCTGGGAACATAATAATATGCTCCCAAGGGTTAAAATGTGCCAATTAAAATGCTCATGTTGGCCAATTAAAATGTGCCAGATTTAGGTTTTTATTATCGCATACAAAAAGTAAACTAGAAAATGCTTATAGATTTGTGTGTTTGTGTTCTTTTTTATATTGATTTTTTTTTTTTTTTAAGGTAATTAAAAAGGAAGATGATAAAAATCAAGAAACCAAAGGTTTTTTTTAGGGTAAATTACACTGACACCCCTTGGGTTTCAGTCAATGCCACTCAGATCCTGGTCAACGGATTTTTAAACAATGATACCCCTGAGGTTTCAAATGTCATATTTACCACTGATTATTTAATTTGGTTTATTCATAAAATATCAGCAATGTTAATTGACGAAAATACCCTTCATCCACCATTACTCAAACCCACTACCTAACCCCCTCTCCTAAGCTTCGCCATTCTCCACTCACCGATCCAACCCACCACAACCACCGATCCAACCAAAATTTACCACCTCCAACTAAATTTTCTCCACCCACCATACTCGCCTTATGCTAAGGAGTCACACGATACCTTTTCCTCGCCCTACGCTTGCCTCTACTCCTCCTATGTGTGTCGGTGTGTGCCGTTATATATATACATATGTGTGTGTGCGTGTGTGTGCGTGCAATTGAATTTGGCTTTGATCGTTCACCAATGGAGAAGCAATTTCGGCCATTGAACTTGAGAACGTGATCACAGCCCTGCTATCGAACGGCCATAATCTCTTCTCCAACGCCTCTGATTCCAGATAGATGGTGCAAAACCCGAGCACTCCACGGTTTTGCTGCGGCTAGGGCTTCACGCGTTGGGAATAATGGTGGCGAGTGTTTTGTTTTCAGCGGTGGGTGCTCGGCGGTGGCGTTGGTGGCTTATCAGAGTGATGCAGAATTGGGTACGGCGATGAGATGGTCCTTCTCAGGTCTCGTCGCCATCGACAACGTCGCTGAGTCTAAACAACATTTTATGTTGACTTAGACAACGTCGCTGAGTCCGAACAACGATCCTTACACCGACCTATGTTTAGGTAGCAAACCACAAAACTCCAGTGAAAATTCTAGTGTCAGTGAAAGTAGAGATCACCGTCGACGACCAATTAACGGTAAAGGATTCTGGTGGTGAAAGCATGTGGTAGACGGAGAACACAAAGAAAACGGTTTGGGCGAAGTTTTTGGACGAAGTCAATTTGGTGTAAAATCAAGCATGTTATAATATTCAAGATATGCATATCGATAGGGGGAGCATTCTTTTAAATACTACTCCACCTGACAATAAACATATCAATGTTTTGCTATCATCAAAAAGGGGGAGATTGTTGGCCTTAAGGATTTTTTCTAAAGTCCAATATAATGTTTTGATGATTACAAACCATTAATGATGTTTAAGTACTAATATTTTCATTGAGTGATGTATAGATGATCAATATTCAAACCTCAATGATGAGCTATAAGGTCCATTCCAAACATTCCAAGCATTTCAAGCAATGGTTTCAAGAACACCTTAAAGTTGCAAGAAATCAATGGCATATCTAATGAAAGAAAAACTCAGTTTTCAAAGATCATTCAAGCATTTCAAATAACGAAAGCAAGTCTTCATCAAGCCTAAACGATCATGGTCAAAGAATGAAGAAAATGGTAGATAGGATGGTGAGAGCTTAAGATTTAATGTCAAAGTATATTTGAATATATTTTGAAGCTCAAAATTACAGGATCATGCATATTCATTCTAATTCAGTTTTTAAATGCCTAAAATTTGCTCATGAACTTTATATATGCATTCTTACTTAAGTTACATATAATAGGAAGTGCATAGGACTTAGTTAAATTCATTTTTAGTCTTGCACAGCAATAGAGCCGCCTCCATTCAAAGTAGAGCATGTTTCTTGCAGTCCAGTAGCTTATTTAGGCTCGAGAAACAATTTTTTTTAGAAAATAGCCGCCTCCCATTTTTTAGAGCCTCCTCCATTGAGTGTGGAGCCGCCTCTTAAATACAATGGAGCAACTTCCACTTTTGGATATAGCCAGCTCCTTCTGGGGATTTGAATTCCAACGAGAATTTTTGCATTTAATGTTCTCCAACCACCTCTAACAGCTATATTGAGCTTCATATCTCTATAAATATAGATGGTTGGTCTGCTGAATATTAACACCACTTGAAAGAGCATTCAATAGCCATAAACACTTTCCCTTGAGCATTCATTCATATCACTACATTCTCTCACATCATCATAGAACTTGAGCTTCATTTATATTATTATCTACTCTAGTTGTGAGCTGAAATTATACATCTTTTCTTTAAGAGAAAAACAATCTTGTATTTCACTTAGGGCTAGTTTGGTGTGCAAGAATGAAATGGAATGGAATGGGAATGAAGCTAGGAAATGAATGGAATGGGAATGATGATTCCTATTATCTTGTTTGGTTGCAAACATGGAATGTGTAAAAATAAAATGATGATTTCCATTTACTTGTTTGATTGGACTAAAAATTTAAATGGAATGAATTTATATTGTTTTACCTTTATCATCATTTATATTGTTTTGTCCAAATTACCTTTATCATTAAAAAAAAAAAATTAACATCAAATTTTTTCCAATCCAGTGGTTAAGAAAGAGGTCTGTAAGAAGGAAATTGGGGCAAGAGATAGAGAGAGGAAGTAGAGAGAAGAAAGAAGCTAGGCAAGTAAGGTGTTGGAGATTGGGCGAGAAAAGGCAATGGGGAGAATGAAACGAGTGAATAAGGGTGAGGACGGATCCGATTTGATCGGCGGCGACGAATGGCAGTGATCTAAGCTCTGTTACAAACTTGATCGATGAAACTTACAATCCAGTCAAATGAAGTTGCAGTGTTCGGCGATGAATCAGCGGGCTGTGGACAAAATAGGCGAGCAATGGTGAGACTGACGGCGATCAAGAAGGCGGTGCTGAACTTACCGGTGAGGTGGGTCTGAATTGAGCTTTTGAATCGTCGGCAAAATGGTGGTGAACTAATGGTTAGCACAAAGGACGGACTGGTGAGACTGACGGTGAGTAAAAAGGATGGTAGTGCTAACAGTTGTGTTGCTGGATGTGAAGCTTTTGAGTATGCTTGGAGAACGCCGATAATGGACAAGGACGGCAGCCAGAAAGCTCCACAACGGCGACCAAACAACCCTCTTCCCAAGTTGGTTTAAGCAATTCTTTCACAAAATCAATGAGAGAAACACAAAAAAGCTTCAATACTTTTGGGTCCTATTCACTGTTTGTTTCACTCAGATCTACTTTTGATTTTTTGTTGTGTCTTGGTCCATCACTTTGAAGTTCAAGATCTATTAACCATAAAAGGTGTTTTAAGTGTTGAATATGTTAAATTGCATGTTTAATTGAGTTGTGGTGATGATATATGACCTTGGTTGATTTATCTTTATATGTTTTTTGTTGAAATGCCATGATTTATATTTATTAGAATGAAGAACAATGCAAGAGAAACCCCCAAAAGCCCGAAATCCAAAAGGTGGCTAATTGGAACTTTGATCTTATCAAAACGTCGGCCTTAACGCACTCATCAACTTTGCCTCAAGCGGCAAAGCCAAATTCTAAATGTAAAAGTGTGGATTTTAGCTTGACTTGGTGTAAAAAGAAAAAGAAAATAAGAGGGACGATAGAAAGTGCCGAAATGAGAGACTTAGAATGGGTCTGTGATGATCCTAAGTCATTTGTAATGTTTTACAATGATGGTGGGTCTCACAGCTTTTATATATATATATATATATATATATATATATATATATATATATATAAATTTTCTTTTATCACCTTTATATATATAAAAACACTAAATACTATACAACCACCCATCCAAACATGTATCCACATAAATATGTATCGAATAAATATGTATGAATGTAATGGACCTGGAAAATAATCCCCATGCTCAACACTCTGGTAGCGGGTCCCACCTGGGACTCTCAGCTCGAAAAATGAAAAAAATGCCAAAATGACAACCAATGCATTTCCAAGAGTCCTAAACTCAAGAAAATGTCCCAATCAACACTCTGGCACACCCCACGGTGTTCGGCACGTAAAATGAGAAAAATAAAAATACCCTCGAAAAAAAATCAAAAAATTCTAGAAAATGGAAAATGGCAAAAATCGAAAATATTACAAATACGTGGGTTACATGCGGACATTTCAATGGCTTGGACTTTGATGGTAGTATGGATGATAGCTACGATACGTTTGATGTAAGCTGTATGGGGCAAGTCTTTCACCAACAATGGAGATCATCTTACATTCTTGATGATAATCTGGCCGATTTCTTTCGTAACAGGGATCACTTTCAAAAGGGGCATGGAGTTGTTAGGAGTTCATATCAATCACATAAACCATGTTTTTGCAGAGATATAACTCAATTCAACATAACTGAATACCCTTCTCTGGCCTTGCGCGCTTTTTTGGCTTAACAGGTTATTTTGCGATTTGCTTGCAAAGTATTTGTGCGGCTTGTGATTACATACTAGAGTTTTTTCTGAATCCTAAAAATACATATGGTGAAGACCTAAGTACCTTATTGTGCCCAATATTATAAACAATGAAGCAACATTTCTCTAGCTTTAAGCTTGTTTCTGGAGAAGAACTCGGGAAGAAATTATCGATTGAATTTATTAAACCTCACATGAATCAGGAGCTTGCTTCTTATCAATGCCAAACTACAGCATCTCCATCTAGGCCCAGAGTCTAACAAAATGGACGAGATGATACAACCACATTCATCAAATCAACAGCCAATAGTTGAAGTTGATGATATCAATAATGACTGGGATGTCGCTGATGCGAAGCAAAACAATGGACAAGAGCAAAATAACGTTCTCATTACTCATCCAGATGAGGCATGCATGAATCGCGAACTCGATTTTTCTCAATGCCAAAGTTTTATATCTCCGCCTAGGCTTGAAGTCCCACATAATGGGTAAGAGACAACACGGCCACATCCACCAAATCAGCAACTAACAGATGAAGTTGAAGTTGATGAAATCAACGATGGAAGGAATGTTAATACAAATTCAATTGCTTATGAGGAGCTCGAAAAATATTTCGGGAAAAAACTTAAATATGTTGCACAGATTTTTGGTGGTAAGCTTATACACTAATTGAAATTGTTGTTTGTAATCTGTTGTATTTTCTACTTTTGAGTTTCTTCTAATAGAAATAATAGTTTTATTCTTTTGCACTTGCAAATTATATGAGTTTTTGTTATTAAATTCTTATTTTTGCAGTGAGCCAATCTACATTTAAGCGTATATGCCGAGACAATAAAATTGATCGCTGGCCGCGGAGCAAGAGAAAAAAGGTTGAAAGCTCTCCCTCTAGATAAGAACCTCCATGTTTTGATTTGCCTACTAAGAAACTCGTAGCTCATCACATGACTCCACTTGTAAGACCACCACCAGAAGCAAAGACGATGACTATAAAGGCAACCTGTGTAAATGATCTAGTAAAGTTTCAACTACCTTTTCCGTCAAGAATGGTGGAGTTAGAAGAGGAAGTCTCCAAGAGGTTGAAGTTCCATGTTGGAACTTATAAGATCAAATATACAGATGATGATGGCGATCGGGTTTTAATAGCCTACGACAAGGACTTGCAGGATTGTATGAATGCTTCCAATTTATTAGGCATGATTACAATCAAAATGTTCATTAAGTCAATTAACATTATATCTCCTTTAACCTAACTACTTGTGCATGTATGCTCCTAACTATGTGTTGATACCAAGTAATCAAATTATTCTTCAGTATGTATTTATGTATTTTTTTCTTTTCACCAATAAATATGTATCAGTAGTTTCTATGTCCTAACTTCCCATTTTGTTCTCTAATATTGTTGGGTCTTCTACTTGTGCAATTTTGTATTTCAAAGTTTGCAAACATTTCAGAGTCTAAAAAAATTTCCTTTTTTTTTTTTGGGAAGGTCATTTCAGATTCTAAATTAATTTTTTCATTCGATGAGGTAATTACTTGTTGCAGATATACTTCCATTGATTATAAGGTCGGTAGGCACAATGACCATGGAACCTCAATTTGACCCAATGACTCACATCGACCTTTTTTTTTAAAGGTAAGACGTGCCACTAAACTACAACACTCTTGGGTCATTCTGTAAATTCAATTGTTATGCAGCCAAAATTGAGCCACAAACGTCGGTTTTCACAAACTTTGATTTTCTTAAACATTATTTCAAAAGCCAAAAGTTTAAAAATGCTAGTAAAGCATTGGAATTCTTAAATTCTAAATATCATAAAATCATAAAAGGCTTTCTTAAAAAATGAACTCTAAAAACAAAAAAAAAAATCTTTTTTTTTTTTAGGTCAAGACAAGGTGGTGCTTGAGAAATAATTAAATGGTCTGAGATAATATAATTTTGGCCAAGCACAACTTGCCATGCAACAATAAAAAAATGAACAAAACTAACACATTTAGTTACGTGACAATCGGAACCACATAGTCTCCGCACCCAAAATGCCTTCAATTTAAGATTCTTTTACAAAGAAAGGAATTTATTTTTCCATGTTTTGTCTTATGTCATTCTATAAAGAACTCAACTTATGATACTTTAGAATTTGAATCATAAAAATTTCAATTAAAAGTTTTAATTTATTTTTTTTGGATCTCAATGTTGATATATTGATTCGGTGCTCATAAACGTAACATTACTACCCGTCTTTTTATTTAGTTGCATTAGTGGTCGGTTTAATTTTAAGTCCTCATAATCAAGGCAAGAATGAATTTGTAGAAAAAAATAATTCTAGTTTTTCCACTCGTTTGAGCCATTAGGCCGGCCCAGCAAGCCGCTGCTATAAATAGTTGGACTTTTTGGGCTGAAATCAGTTTTGGCACATTCTCACTAAAAACCCATAAACCTATGGGCCGGAAGCCCAGATTGTTGCTAACAATGTGCTTTTCCATGTTTAAAATCTGATCCTACCCCTTTCATAATGTAGAAGCATTTGTTAATTGGTACCTAGGAGTTAGGGCCTCTTGGACAATTTTTTTTGTTTTGTGTTTTTTTATTACGGGTGGTATAGTGTAACGAAGTAAAAATACTTGGTAATTTTTTTCTTTTTTACAATCTGAATAGTAAAAGTGTAGGACTGTATGTTGCGAAATAGAAGTTCAAATTAAAAACACCAAATTCATCATGCTTCTTAATGTTTTAACACTAAGGGAAAAAAAAAATGCTGAAGAAGTGAATAGTATAAAAAAAAAAAAAAAAAAAATCTCTTAGTGGTCTGTTCTAAATAGCAATTTTAGTCTTGCAACACTCATATATTTTTGTTTTAAAAAATCTTACAACAAATTAATTTTTTTAAAAAAATATCTAAAACAGAAATGATTGCCTAGTACCCTTCTCATAGTTTATATATATAAATACGTCGCTAGTCATTTGTTATTTTCAGAAATTTTTATTTTTATTCTTATTTTTCATGTTTGGTAGAATTATTTGTAATCCTTGCCTCTTTGTGCATATAGAGATACATTTTTTTTTTTTTTTTTTTTTTTTTTTTTCAAATAAACTAATACTACGTACTTTGAGATATATATATATATTTGAAGGAACAACTATTCAATCAATCAAAAGGCCAAATTACAATATCAAGCCTAGCAAAGATAGCAACCACAAACTTTTTTCATTTTTGCGCCTTGAGTTTTGAATTTCTCCGTGGGGCACCTTCTCCAACTTTCTAGACCAATCTCGCTCTGTCTCACTCTCCAAACGAAGTATACTTCTTCTGCAACTCCACAATGCTCCCTACCAACTTCAATTCATCCTTCACTTCCAATCAATGGCCACTCTTTTCACTACTCCATACTCTTGCTCTTCATGGGCTCTCCAGAAAACCCAAAATCACTTGCCTTCTACTCCTTTCTTCAAACACCCATTTGCCCAAAAAAACCACCTCTCATCTTTCCTCTCTTCCAGGCAAAAACCCAAAATACACTGCAAATTTTCCGTCAAAGCTGAGCAAGAAAATGAAAACCCTTCTACTTCTTCTTCTTCGGTTGCCGTAGTTTCAGAAAAAGATGATACCCAGAAGAGGGATTTTCCTGCTGAGGGTGAATTGGGGAGAGAGGGCGAGTCTGAGTCTGAATCTGAAGAGAGAGAGAAACAGCAAGAACTGGATTGGAAGACTGACGAGGAGTTCAAGAAATTCATGGGTAATCCTTCGATTGAGGCTGCTATAAAGCTCGAAAAGAAGAGGGCTGATAGGAAGTTCAAAGAGCTTGATAGAGAAAGTAGTGATAACCCAATTGTGGAGTTCTTAAATAGAGTGGTTCGTGACAGTTTGGCCAGAGAGAAAGAGAGGTTAGAGAAAGCAGAGGAGACATTCAAGGCTCTTGATCTCAACAAGGTGATTGCTTCTTTCTCATGTTCATATAACATACAATTGAATTAACACACATTTCATATAGTACACTATATATATATATATATATATATGGGTGTTTGTATCTATTTGTATATGTGTATATGTACATGCTGGTTTTATAGTTTTTTGGGTTGCACTCTATGGTAAGGAATTGAAACATGTCTAATTTTGTGTGGGTTTTGAAATGACATGGTGTTTGTATCTATCTGTGTTTGTGAATATGTAACATGTTTTGTGGTTTTTTTTGGGTTGCACTCTATGCCAAGGTATTCAAACATGTGTAATTTTGAGTGGTTTTTGAAATGACAGTTAAAGAACTGCTTTGGGTTTGATACATTTTTCGCAACCGATGTCAGGAGATTTGGTGATGGGGGAATATTTATTGGGAATTTGTGGAGGCCCATTGAGGAAGTCGTACCCAAATTGGAGCAGAAGCTATCTGAAGCAGCAGGGAGGGAGGTTGTCCTGTGGTTCATGGAAGAAAAAACTGATGACATTACAAAACAGGTACTCGATTACATTTGTGTCTTTTGTATTCATTTTGAATTGATTGTTCAGTGTTTCAGAAAGCAATTTAATGGTACAGGTATTTTTGTTATATCTACAAGTTATTCATCCAACAATTAATGTTACCATTCCCTTAGACCATCCTCTTCTCTCCACAGGTTGTTCTTGAGGACCTTTACTCATTACTGAATGGCATGTTTATTGAATAATGTAAATAATCAACGAAATGAGCCATAGCACATCAGCCATACAATCTTGTTTCAGCTGTAGCATCGTGATGCTACGCGCTTGTAGCCATATTCCCGTTGGTAGAGTGAGTGCTGTCTTGCAGCACAAAGGTTGTTTGTAAGAGCCATTTGCTAAAAAATGAGGGAACTATGACATATAAGTAATCATTGGCAGGTTTAAAATCCAAGGGGGCAGGTCAATTTTCTTGTAGTCTATGTTTCCTGAAATTGTCTTTCTTGTGTCAATTCAATCTCAAGGTTCACTCACTTGCTTAAAGTAGTTAAACTTTGTCTATGTGCAAATGAAACACAAACATGTTCTTCTTATCTTTTGAAATTTATATGTTTGTTAATATCTTACACTTGTCTTAACGAAACTATTTTTTTTATAATTTCTATCTTTGATGGTTTGTATGGTGCAACCCAAAGCAGAGATGGATCTCCAATTTGAATCAACGAACCTGAGCACTCCTTCGGGTTATGTTAGTGCAGTAGCTTTATGTGTTACAACCTTTGGCACAATTGCGTTGATCAGTGGCTTCTTCCTTAAGCTTGATATGCTACATTTGATGACTACATAGCTGATGTTGTGCCTCTCTTTGGCGGCTTCCTTTCCATTTTGGGAGTTTCTGAGGTAAGTTTACAGTGCTGTAACAATCATTTTTTGTCAATGAAACCGTGCAACACTTCCTTGTACCAAGAAAAGAAGAAACAACATTGACTTGAAGTTTCAATTTGCCCAGAGAAGTCAAGGAAGACACCATTTTCTCAGCAACTATGTGCCAATTACTTGCACAATCACTGACTGAGAAGCACAATTGCGTCGGCGCAGCAGAATTGCATGGCATTGAGTCCAGCTCTTCACAATTCTTGAAAGCCAAAATGGTGTTGATGCAAACTAAAAGGCTCGTGTTCGACTGCGTGAAGGAAGCCATAGACACCCATGGAAGGAGAGCAAGGAGGCAGAAGAGGCTCAAAGGTGTGTTGGGGCCTGAGGAACTTGGAAAAAAGTGTGTGACCAAATCTATGAATGGGGAAATCAATCTGGTGATGAAACAAATGTAAACCAATTGATAAGTTGGGATTACTCCAACACAGAGAGGAATGGAGTGATTTTCATCTGCTAACAAGGCATATTGGGATAGAGATAAGAGATGCTATCTTTGATGATATTGTAGTAGAAATAATCAAGTCACTTTGAGGTATATAGATATATTTGAAGAAATAATTAATTCATCCAATGACTTTGTTTCTGCTCTTTTCTTCTCCAATTGGTTATGAATTTAGGAAATGGAGATCTGTTTAGGGTCCCTCATCGATATTTAGGAGAAAATGTTATATGATTACGGGAATATTGGTCTCGGATCATCATTAACTGACACACAAATAAACGTATTATCAATTTTATTTAAATTTTTTATTTGTATGCTAACTAGTGATTGATTGATCGATACCAATACTCATACTCCGAAGACTATACAAAATTTTTCTCCATATTTAAGGATCTATTAATAATCTAAAAAAGGGGTGGCTGTGGCAAACAAGGAAAATGGAAAAGGGTCATTCTCAAAATCCCGTTATTACAACCATAATTTTTGAGACATTCTCTTAAAACGGAAAGTTTGTCTTTTGTTTAATTAGAACTTTTCTTGTTAAGAAATATTAGGGTTCTAGCTAAAAAATTCATTGTAAAAAAAGATGATCGAAACGACACTAATTACATTACGGCATATTTTCTCCAAATCATTGGTGCGACCATTAAAATCGTAGGCCAAGTAGATTTCAAATCCAAGTAGTGCCTTCAGAATTTATTTTTTTATTTTATTTTTTTATATATATATTTTTTAATGAATTTCTCGAATCCTTAGTATTAAAGACTTCATAATTAAATAGCCATCATTTGAGTTGAGGTAGATGCTTCGATAGTCAAGTAGTTAGTGTTTTCGATAAATTTTAAAAGTGTCAGACTTCGACTTTTTATACTTACTAATTTAATTTCTAATTTTTCTTATTTCGTAAAAAATAAAAAATAAAAAATCATTTGAGTTGACACTCATAAAAACAAGAGAATATAAATAAATATTTACGACTTGGGTCGTGACCTATGAGAACAATATGTTAACTATTCTCTCTCTTCTTAATTCTCTACAACATTAATTTAACAACTTCAAGTCATACTGATAAATACCAAGTACAGTACTATGTAGAAATCATTAATTTCATCAACTAAGGACAAAGGATTTAAACGCTAACGTGTTGACAACCATTTGGGTCTACGATTGTGGCCCGGGTGGCTCATATTTTGCCACGTGGAACCATCACGGTATGCAATGTGCCACCAGCGACAGCGATGGATAAGATGAATTGTCTCAGTGAGCAATGAGCCAATTTTGACAAGTCATGTGATAATAAGTTAATAACGTTACTAACCTATATGAGCGGCCGAAGTGAAGGTGCAATGGGCACATCATGTGGGCCCGAACCAGAATGGTAACCCGCCAATTGGAAAGACCAAATTTTCTGGGCTGATCATCATCACCCTAGCTGCCCAAGGGACCACTAGTCCTCTAACCCATGAGCCACGACATTGTAGAGAAATTATTATATAGTTTGGGGCTCTGTATTTCAGCCAATATGCTAATAAAAGTGTTAATTTTTATTTATTTATTTTTTGGTTCACGCATCAATTTAAAATCGGTTAGAATCACGTGATCCCAAACCATGTAATAATGGACAAAGTTCTTATTCAGTTCACATGGCACTATTATAAGAAAGAGCTCGAGAGCCAATGAAGCTTACAAGATTGGCTAGACAGAGTGGTGTTTGAGAAATTATTAAATAGTCTGAGATTATGTGATTTCGGTCAAGTACAAGCCACCCCGCAACAATAAAAAAATGAACAAAGTTAACACATTTAGTTGCGTGATAGTCGGAATCTCATAGTCTACATTTAAGCGTATATACAAAGATAAAAAATCAATCGCTGGCTACAAGGTAGGGGAAAAAAGTTTAAAGGCTCTTCCTCTAAACGAGACCCTCAATGTTCTAAGTTGCCTGCTAAGAAACTCGTGGCTAGTGATGTTCACATGACTTTATTTGTAAGACCACCACCAGAAGTAAGGATGATGACTATAAAGGCAACTTATGGAGATGATATGATAAAGTTTCAATTACCTTTTTCAAGAAGAATGGTGGAGTTGGAAGAGGAATTATCTGAGAGCTTGAAATTAAATGTTGGAACCTATAAGATCAAATATTTAGATGATGCTAATGATTGGATTTTAATAACTCGTGACAAGGACTTGCAGTATTGAATGAGCACTTCCAATTCATTGGGCATGGATACAATCAAAATGTTCGTTGAGCCAATTACCAAAATATCTCCTTCAACGTGACTACTATATATGTTATCTGTTGATACCAAGTAATCAAATTATTCTTCATTATGTATTTATATATGTAATTTTTTTCTTTTCACCAATAAATATATATTAATAGTTTCTGTGTCCTAATTCCCCACTTTGTTCTCAGTTTTCTATTTGGCATACATTTCAGATTTTAAATTATTATTATTATTATTATTATTATTATTTGGAAGGTCATTCAGATTCTAAATTAATTTTTTCATTTGATGAGCTAGTTAATTGCAACAATTAATGTTGTTACATTGATTTTCCAATTCGATTTTAGACGGCCATCACGAACAAATTCAATTTTGGACACCCATCACGACAAGCCTAATGACTCATGTTGAGCCTCGTAACAAAAACAATCTTTTATTTTTTACAAAAACAAATAACTTCTTAGTTGTTATGCAGTCGAAATTGAACCATAAACCTCGATTTTGTTAAAATTTTAATAGGCCAGAGGTTTAAAAATGTAAGTCCTCAAAAGAAAAAAAATCACAAATTTTAGATCTAGGTTACTCGAATGTGCCTAAAAGCAATTTCTAAAGTTTTCTTAACTGAATGGATTTTAAGTTCTTCAAATAAAATTCGGTTAAAAGTCATAAAATATACTTTAAAGACGCACAAACTCTAAAATTCACAAAAGTTTAGGTCCAAATCTCTTAAGAAAAAATATTTAAAGATGTTTTAAAATTTACAAACTTAGATCACATAAAATTGTTCAAAAATTACAAAATTATGTTTAAATGAAATACACCCTAGAATTTGTAAATTTTAAGTCTAGACCAAAGTAGTTAACCAAAATAGATAAAGATTTTAATATCGGAAGGTGACACCGATGTATTTTTCTTGGATAAATTTAAAATCATGTAGTTCACCACTGAGTAGGTAGGCGGCTCTTTTTTTTTTTTTTTTTTTTTTGGGGGAAATTAAAGTATTTGTATATATGATTGTTGAATGTACAGATGGGCCGAAGCCCAAAAAAAGCCCAAGGTCAACCTATGAGCTCCAATCCAGCCCATACCCAAAGGCAGATCCCAGTCCATTTGCACTCTGCTGGCTTGATCGGTAGGAGGCTTACAGCTCAACAATTCCATAAACAGGTTTCAAATTTGATGAAGGAACTTTCTTTTTGTTTTGGAATGGTTTGGTGATGCACCTTCCTGTGTATATAAAAAATGTAAAACTTTTAATAATGAACGAAAAGAGTAAAAAATGTATTTTAATTTTTAATTCTTTTTTTCATGGGACTCAATTGTCTTTAAAAAGTGGGTGGAGGTAATTATCGCTGGTCTCTTTCCATGGTGGGGGCAAATAAAAAAACGCGGTTCAACCTTTATTGACTTTTCTTTACGCGTTTCTACATCTTTTGTGAACCCCTTCCTCCGTCTAAGTTGAGAATAATAATTTTGAATAAAAGGTTGAATGTAGTAGTAATTATATACATTGATGTGCTTTTTATCAGGTAGTTCATCGATGACAATGGAAGATATGCCAGAGCCTCCCATCATTCCTAATTTTGAAACATGCTATCTCACTCATGAAGAACTGCGCAAGATCATTAATTTCAAGAAAGATTTGCCGAGTGAAGTGTCTTACCGGCGCCCGTGGTTGAAAAGGCATCTGTGGGCATTTTGGAGTGAGCCGACTCTCTCTCCTTGCAGTAAGCAGCTTTTCTCTCTGTCTTCTTGTCACCCTTAATTTCTCACCTTTTTAAAAAAAATTATTAACAGAAAAATGAAATATGTATATAGTTGGCATGGAAATTTAATTCAATAGCAGCTTAGCTTGAGAAATTCAATCTTTATCTCATGTGTATTTTATATTATATATAATAATAAAGTTGTTGGGTGTAGGTGGTGGTAGTATTACCGATTCCGCAACTCACCCCCCCACCGCAAATCAACCCATCATTACAGACATCATCAAATCTGCCCTTCTACACTTCCATCCAAGTTATAGTATTTACGATGACTTTCTAATACAGTTTTGGGCACCCATCACAACAGAAACAGGGTGTGTCCAGCTTGTTACTTCAGATCAACCTTTTGCTCTTACTTATAATCTTGATGAAGGACTACTTAAGTATAGGAAGCAGTGTTTGCAATACAAATTTGATGTGGATGGGGAACAAGTAGAAGGACTTGGAATCCCTGGCCGTGTTTTCCGCCAAAAATGGCACGAGTATCTACCACATGTGCGACATTACTCTACCAAAGAGTACCCACAACGTGATTTTGCTCTAGCTTGCCATATTTCGAAATCTTTTTGTTGCCCGTTGTTTCAAACCTCTTTCCAGGGATGCGTTGGAGTACTTGAGTTTGTTGCAACTAACATTATCAGTTTCTACTCCACGTGTAAATCGTTTATCAAGGTTTGGTGATTGGATATGAATGCCATCATATTTGGAGATGATAGATATGACTTTACCTTTTCATTAATTTAAACCTTTCACTTTTTCTTTCTCTTGCAGCTTCTTGCGGGTCTGAAAACTTCTTTCTGTGATGGATTGATTTGTAAGGTAAGTTAGAGCTGTAATATCCAAATGTGAGATTTGCTACTTTTATATGTTTTCACTACTCTCTTCCCTCATCCATAAATGTCTATACCAGGTTTTCTCTAGATTTCATCCAAATATACGGGCTGAAATCAAAGAAGGGTTGAAAGTGGTGTGCAAAACTCACGACTTACCTTTGGCTATGACACGGATTCCGTGCGGGCATTTCAATGGCAATTTGGATAATAGCAATGATACGTTTGATGTAAGTTGTATGGGACCAGCCTTTCACTATAAATATGAAGCATCTTATTTTATAGATGATATTCTGGTGGAATTATTCTATGACCGGAATGATTTTCAAAACGGGCAGGAAGTTGTTCGAAGTGCATATCAGTCACATAAACTATGTTTGTGTAGAGATCTAACTCAATTCAGCATAACTGAATACCCCGACCTGCCCCTTGCACGTGCTTTTGGCTTAACAAGTTGTTTCTTCATTTGCTTGCAAAGTACTCGTGCCAAAAATTATCATTACGTACTAGAGTTTTTTCTGAATCCTAAAAACACATATGGTGAAGACCCAAGTACCTTCTTGTGCCCAATATTAGAAACAATGAAGCAACATTTCCCAAGCTTTAAGCTTGCTTCTGGAGAAGAACTCGGGAAGGAATTACCGATTGAAGTTATTAAACCTCGCATGAATCAGGAGCCTGCTTCTTTTCAATGCCAAAGTACTTTATCTCCATCTAGGCCTGGGGTCTTACATAATGCACAAGAGATGATGCAGCCACATTCATCAAATCAACAGATGCTAGTTGAAGTTGAAGATATCAACTATGAATGGAATCTTGTTAATGATGAGCAAAATAACATTCCTGTTTCTTGTTCAAATGAGGATCGCATGAATCAGGAACTTGCTACTTTTCAATGCCAAAGTACTATATCTCCACCCGAGCTTGAAGTCTTGCATAATGGGCAAGAGACGACGCAGCCACATCCACCAAATCAGCAACTAATAATCGAACTTCGTGATACAAACAATGGAATGAATGTTGTTAATGCAGAGCCAAATGGCATTCCTGTTTCTTGTTCAGACGAGGCAATTAATTCAATTACTTATGAGGAAATCAAAAAGCATTTTGGAAAGAAACTTGAAGATGTTGCACAGATTTTTGATGGTAAGCTTACACAGTAATTGAAATTGTCGCTTCTAATCTTTCTTTTACTATTTTCAATTTTTGAGTTTCTTCTTTTATAATTAATAGATTATTCTTTTGCACATACAAACTATATGAGTTTTTTTTATTTATTATTGAGTTCTTATTTTTGCAGTGAGCAGATCTACGTTTAAACGTATATGCCGAAAGAATGGAATCCACCGCTGGAAACGAGGCAAGAGAAATAAGGTTAAAGGCTCTCCCTCTAGACAAGACCCTTCATGTTCTCATCTGCCTGCTGAGAAACTCGTGGCTACTGTTGCTCACTTGACTCCACTTCCAACAACACAAGAAGTAAGGGCAATAACTATAAAGGCAAAATTTGGAGGTTGTACGATAAAATTTCAACTTCCTTCTACATCAGGAATGGTGGAGTTGGGAGAGGAAGTGCTCAAGAGGTTGAAGTTAGATGTTGGAACTTATAATATCACATATAATGATGGCGAGGATCAGATTTTAATAGCCTGCGACGAGGACTGGCGGGATTGTATGAGTGCTTCCGATTCAATGGGCACAATCAGATTGGTCATTGAGCCAATTACCCAAATATCACCTTCAATGTGACTACAGGCAAGTTTCTAACTATGTGTTGGTATCAATCTATTATCTATCCACGGTCCTAGTTCCTAAAGACAATATATGTATTTATGTAATTTTTATCTTTTCTGCAGGAAATATCAGCAGTTCCTATTTCGTAGCTCCCACTCTGTTCTCTAGGATTGCCGAGTCTTCTACTTGTTCAGTCTAAAAAAAATACATTTGTATTTCAAAGAGAGTACCTTGCTGAAATGTAATATGTTCAAAGTGAAAGAAGCAACTTTAAGTTTTGCAGGAAACAATATGTTTTATGTAAGTAAACACTTAGCAAATATTTTTAAAGTTCGCAGATGAGCTAATTAGTTGCTACCATTAATCTTGATGGACTTCTTAAGTATATGCCAATGTGTTCGATTCTAGGGAAAACCCTTCATGTCTGCTAGCTGAGAAACCTGTGGCCTGTGTTACTCACACAACTTAAGCAGAAGACATTATAAAATTTCAGTTACTGTTTTTATCGAAAAAAGGTGAATTTGGAGAGGTAGTGTTCAAAAAGTTATAGATCAAATTAGTGGACGACCGAAAATAAAATAGAGAGAGTGACGACTGAAATAGAGGAGATGAAGTTGGTATGGATCCCTGGAATGAGGGGAACATAAAATTTGGATAAGAAAAGAAGAAAAATTGACAGAAAAAAAAATAATAATAAATAAAAAAGGGTTAGGAACCCTCAATGCTAGACATAAAATAATTTTGGTGGGACAAGTTCACAATTATAAAATAACACAAAGAAAAATAAGGTTGGTGGTAGGCATAAGCTGCACTCGGAGGCATTAAAGAAGGAACGTACATACACAAAATTCTACTGTAATCTACACCAGCAAGGTGGAAAACCTAGAATTCAATCCATACCCGCAAACCCGAAGTACAGGTCTATATTCCAAGGCGGTTACCAAGTTCAAAACAGAGAGAATGGAGATAGCATTACTGAGGAGAAAATTCTGCAGGAAGAAACTTGAGTGAAAAACTATTAACACTATGACATTCATCCATTGGAGTAGGGAGCCCTTCACCTTTAATACATGACCTAGATGTCCACCACAAGCAGCACATGTAATTTCAATCCTCGTTCCATCTGGGTCCGCCTGAGAGCAAAAGAGGATGTAATTAACTATAAAAGCAAAACTAAGATGAGATTAAAATGCTGAAAAAGTAAAGAGAACAAGCATGCTCACAGCCTGCACAATTGTAGACTCCCTCACCAAAGAACTTGTCATACTCTTCCATCTTTAGTCGTTTGGTGTCACGATTCTTCCCTATTACATTAGATATCATGCCGGACAATATGTGCTTTCAGTCATGCAACAAATGAAGAAACCAATAAAGATAACAAATTTTAATACAATCCTTCATTTAGGAAAAAATAAAAAATAAAGATAAACAAATTTTTTAATACAGACTGAACATCAACCAATATCTAGCATATCAGTGGAACTCAATTTCTTAATAAATTGTTTCAGCAACTTATCATGTGATTCTAGAAATACTTGTTCCTATTAATTTTGGTAGACTTAGAGAGCAGGAATGTATTGGGTTGGTTAATAAAATCACAGCCATAATTCAATCTCGGAATAACAAAAACAGAGTCCATTGGTATGATTTTTTTTTTATTTCATCATAATGTCCCCAGGCATTCCTTCTTCCTTTCGTTAGATATTCAAGACAAATTACTTGCCCAACAGAGAATGATTAAGGGTCAGAGTTGTTCTTTGTAGGGAAAGGGTAGAAGATAGAAACCATCTCTTCTTTGAATGCTTACAGTAAAATGTGCATACTTGCAGTTTCATTTCTGCCAAAATGGCCTCAATTCCAAGTTCATAGCTCAGCTGCAATTGATTCTACTCTAGTTAATACATTTGCAATTCTAAACTAATCAAGCATAAAGTAGGCAATGGAAAGAATACTCACTTTTGGTATGACAATTGGAGCCAACTGGTCCTCTGCGTCACAGGTATAGCTCTGCCGTAATCGATTCATCTCTAGTTGATAGATTTTGAAAGGTTGAACAATTCATGACTGGTACATCTTGGTCTTCCCACCATCTATCCTCAATCCTATCCCATCACTACCAACCAATCCACTCCCTGATTCCATCATTGATGACTCCATTATTTGGATCCCATCACCAACAGGAACTTACTCACTCAACACACACAATTCCATATTTTCTAGCCATCGCCCCTTCCGTGAATTGGAACCACCTTGTTTGGAGCTCACCAACTATTGCTGTTCACACCAGTCTCCCCACCCTTAAAAAAAAAAAAATAAATAAAATAAAAAATAAAAATCCAAGGCATTTCTCAGATAAAGAAACATTTAACCCCTCTGTGAACCCCTCCCTGAAAACCACAACCACCTATTATATGCTTGTGAATTCTCTCAGCTCATTTGGTCATTTTTACAAACACGTTGTGGGTCTTACTGCTCCACAATGAATTGGAACTCACTTGTCAATTGACCCTCCCTTTTCACTGGAAATAGAAGGCAACACACTTCATATCCAAGCTTGCATTCAGAGCCTCTGTCTATCATATCTCGCTCTTCTCAGAGAAATCATCCACACAATCAAAGGTCTTCATCAAATTCGAAGCGTTGTTAGAGAGAATCTTCTATCAATGCAATTGAGAGACACTGCAATCAACACATGGTTAGTTCAGGACTGGGAGCTTCCAGTTTCTCGCCTCCGACCACCACCATGGCCTACGGCCACCGGACTGGTATAACTGTTACCAAAAAAACAGTTAGTAGCCACTATAATGGGCCATTTAATATGGGTCATATTTTGGACCAATTTATATTGTTTCTGTCATGTTTACCAAACCCCTGGGGCATAATAATATGCTTCAAGGGGTTAAAATGTGCCGGTTTAACAGTTCATGTGGCCAATAAAAATGTGCCCGTTTTAGGTTTTTATTATCCCATACAAAAAGTAAACTAGAAAATGCTTATGGATTTGTGTGTTTGTGTTCTTTTTTATATGGATTTTTTTTTTGGGTAATTAAAAAGGAAGATGATAAAAATCCAGAAGCCAAAGGTTTTTTCTTAGGGTAAATTGCACTGACACCTTCTGGGTTTCAGTCAATGCCACTCAGATCATGATCAACGGATTTTTAGACAATGACACCCCTGAGGTTTCAAATATCATATTTGCCCCTAATTATTTAATTTGGTTTATTCACAAAATATCAGCTATGTTAACGGACGAAAATACCCTTTCATCCACCACTCAGGCCCACTACCTAACCCCCTCTCCTAAGCGTCACCATTCTCCACTCACCGATCCAACCCACCACAACCACTGATCCAACCAAAATTCATCACCTCCAACTGAATTTTCTCCACCCACCATACCCGCCTATGCTAAGGAGTCACACGATACCTTTTCCTCGCCCCACACTTGCCTCTACTCCTCCTATGTGTGTCGGTGTGTGCGGTTATATATATATGTGTGTGCGTACGCGCGTGTGTGTGCAATTAAATTTGGCTTTGATTGTTCACCAATGGAGAAGCAATTTTAGCCATTGAACTCAAGAACGTGATCACAGCCCTGCGATCGAACGACCATAATCTCTTCTCCAATGCCTTCAATTCTAGATCGATGATGCAAAACCCGAGCACTCCACGGTTTTACTGCGGCTAGGGCTTCACACGTTGGGAATAATGGTGGCGAGTGTTTTGTTTTCAGCGGTGGGTGCTCGGCAGTGGTGTTGGTGGCTTATCAGGGTGATACAGAATTGGGTACGGCGATGAGATGGTCCTTCTCAGGTCTCGTCGCCATCGACAACGTTGCTGAGTCTAAACAACATTTTATGTTGACTTAGACAACGTCGCTAAGTCTGAACAAACCATGTGTTGATTGCAGTGTCTGAACACTCCACGATCCTTACACTGACCTACGTTTAGGTAGCAAACCACAAAACTCCAGTGAAAATTCTAGCGTCAGCGAAAGCAGAGATCACCGTCAACGACCAATTAGCGGTAAAGGATTTTGGCGGCGAAAGCCTATGGCAGACAGAGAACACAAAGAAAAAGGTTTGGGCGAAGCTTTTGGACGAAGTAAATTTGGTGTAAAATCAAACATGCTATAATATTCAAGATATGCATATCGATAGGGGGAGCATTCTTTCAAATGCTACTCCACTTGACAATAAACACATCAATGTTTTGTCATCATCAAAATGGGGGAGATTGTTGGCCTTAAGGATTTTTTTAAAAGGTCAATATAATGTTTTGATGATTACAAACCATTAATGATGTTTAAGTACTAATATTTTCATTGAGTGATGTATAGATGATCAATATTCAAACCTCAATAATGAGCTATAAGGTCCATTCCAAGCATTTCAAGCAATGGATTCAAGGAAGCCTTAAAGTTGCAAGAAATCAAAGGCATATCCAATCAAAGAAAAACTCAGACTTCAAAGATCATTCAAGCATTTCAAATAAAGAAAGCAAGTCTTCATCAAGCCTAAACGATCATGGTCAAAGACTTAAGAAAATGGTAGATAGGATGGTGAGAGCTTAAGATTTAATGTCAAAGTATATTTGAATATATTTTGAAGCTCAAAATTATAGGATCATACATATTCATTCTAATTCAGTTTTTAAATGCCTAAAATTTGCTCATAAACTTTATATATGCATTCTTACTTAAGCTACATATAATAGGAAGTGCATAGGACTTAGTTAAATTCATTTTTAGTCTTGCACAACAATAAAGCTGCCTCCATTCAAAGTAGAGCATGCTCCTTTTAGTCCAGTAGCTTATTTTGGCTCGAGAAACAATTTTTTTTCAGAAAAGAGCCACCTCCCATTTTTTAGAGCCGCCTCCATTAAGTGTGGAACCGCCTCTTGAATGCAATATGTTGGCCTAAGGATTTTATCTAAAGGTCAATCTTATGTTTTGATGATTACAAACCATTAATGATGTTTAAGTACTAATGTTTTAATTGATTGATATATAGTTGATCAACATTCAATCCTCAATGATGAGCTAGAAGATCCATTCCAAGCATTCCAAACATTCAAGCAATGAATTCAAGGAAGCATCAAAGTTGCAAGAAATCAAAGAAAAACTTGAACTTCAAAGATCACATAAAGCATTTCAAAGAAAGAAAGCAAGTCTTCATCAAGCCTAAACGATCATGGTCAAAGAATAAAGAAAAGGGTAGATAGGATGGTGGGAGCTTAAGATTCAATGTCAAAGTATATTTGAATATTTTTTGAAGCTCAAAATTATAGGACCATGCATATCATATATCATTCATATGCTCCTATGATCATTAGCAATAGACTAGGAACTTCATTTATATATATTGTCATATGAAATCTTTGCTAAGAAAGAGTTAGTTCAAGTTTGATAAGCTTTGAAAGAACTCATTTTTTAAGCTAGAAATTCTAGGACCATGCACATTAATCATTATATTTATTTTGGTCTCTAAAAAGAAAAGGAAAATGCATTGAATTAATTTTTCATCTTTAAAGCCTTTGTTGCCAAAATTTGGTAAATAACTCTAGGACACAATGCACTTGAAATTTATCATCTTCATATGTCCCTAGACTCTTAGAAACAGGCCTTGAACTTAATTGAATCATTCATCTAAATCCTAGGTGCTAGAAAGATGGATATCTCAAAAGAAGCTATTTTCAGCCTAGAAAATTTCAGACTAGCTTGCACTAAAACTGTTATAACTATTTGTGTAGTTGGAAGTTTTATACAAGGCTAGTGGCATTGGAAAGCTGACTTCGAGCCCTTGAGTTTAGACTCAAATTTCACCTAAATTGGATTAAAAATGACTGAGATATGAGCTTCACAAAATACCTGATTTTGCTCTGCGAAAATTATGACCAGGTTGCACTTAAACAGCCATAACTTTTTCTATGGTTGGAATTTTTGAGCAAGGCTGGTGGCTTTAGATAGCTGACTTCAAGACAATAAATTTAGACTTAAATTTCACCTCATTTGGAGTTTCATGGACTGAGTTATGTCCATTTGAAATCATGCACTTTTTTCTGTCCAATCCAATTTAGCAGCAGCCTTCATAAAGCAAGAGCAGCCTTTATAAGAAATAGAGCCAGCTCTCTCAAAGAATAGAGCAGGCTCAATCAAAGAATAGAGAAGGCTCAATGAAAAACTAGAGAAGGCTCAGGAAAGTAGAGAAGGCTCTACAAAACTAGAGAAGGCTCCATTTTAGAAAAAGAGCCTGCTCCACTTAAGTAGAGAAGGCTCTACAAAACTAGAAAAGGCTTCATTTTTCTATTGAGCCATCTCCATTTTAGAAAAAGAGCCTGCTCCACTTTTTTAATGGAGCCGCCTCCATTTGAAATTGAGCCGCCTCCACTTTTGCAAAGAGCCGGCTCCTTTGAGGGTTTTGAATTACAACGACAATTTTTTTCTGCATTTATTTCCTCTAACCACTTCTAACAGCTATATTGAGCTATGAAATTCTATAAATACAGAGGGGTTGTCTGCTGAATTAGTTGACCATTTTTTTAAGAGACATCATATTACATTGCAAAGAGAGCTTTTGTTCTCATATCTTCTCCTCATCTCTCTCATTCACTCATATACTACTTGAGAGAGCATTCAAGAACATTCATTCAAGTGCATCAAAGAAAGCTTTTGGCTCTACCATTATACAGAGCTTTTGTTCTGGTTATACTCACTCATAGAGCCTCTATTCAGACATCGATCTTTGTCCCATATACAAGCTTCCATAGTTGAATCAGAATGAACTTCAGAGAGCATTTAGTGAGCCTTTGCTGAACTTTTGTTCTAGTATTTCATCAGAGCTTTTGTTCCGTATTTTCCTCATCATCTCTCATGCATTTCATACTTAGAGTTTGAGCTTCACTTGATTTCATATATACTCTATTGTGAGGTTTGATTTGTATCAGTTCTTGAAAGGATTTCTTGTACTACAAATTCTATCTACAAATCTGCTGTAAGCCTAGGAGGAAGAGTTTCTCTTAGCAAAGAAATTGTAAGGGCTGGTGTGGCCTATGTAAAACTAAGAGAGGTGGTCTCTTAGCAAGGATACTGTAAAGGGTTGGTGTGACCCAAAAGGAAGCCTAGGAGAAGGGTGTTCTCCTAACAAGAAAGAGAAGCAAGGTCTTGCTTCAATTGAAGGTTTGCTCTCTACCATTAAGGAGAAGCTCTAAGGAATTTGGGAAGTCTCAAGAGGGATCTTGAGCCGAGGAGTAGGAGTTTTCGAACCTCGCAAAAATCGCCGTGTTATTGTTTGCAATTTCTCTTCCCTTATCTCTTTTACAGTTATTCTAAATTGATTACTTTCATATCTTGTTTATTACATAATTGGTTATACTATTGATTAGAAATTGTACTTCTATAATTTGCGAAAATTGGCCATTGACTCTATTCACCCCCCCTCTAGAGTCAATTCTTGGGTAACAATTGGTATAAGAGCCTAAACTCTATTAAAGGACTTAACCATCTTAGAGCACGATCATAGCCAACAATGGTAGTATGACACTCTTAGAAGGTTATTCCATTGATAAACCTCCTTGTTTTGATGGAAATGATTATATCTATTGGAAAATTAGAATGAGGGCATTTTTAAAAAGTATTGATATTGATGTGTGAAAAGTTATAGAAAATGATGGTCATATCCCAACTAAAGTTCTTGAAGGAAATAAAATTCCTAAGTCGAAAGGGGAATGGGATGAAAATGATCATAGATTAATACAGTGTAATACTTTAGCCATATGCCATCTTTATTGTGCATTAAGCAAAAATGAGTTCAATAAGATTATCTTTTGTAAAACGGCTAAAGAAATTTGGAACTCACTTGAATTAGCCTATGGAGGATCAATTAATGGTGAGGAATCATATATGCCTATGTTTATTGAAAAAGATGCTGTTTCCATCATAAATGAAAATGAATTAGTTAGTGAGATGT